TCCTTCCGAGGAGTCTCTACATTATAGTGACATTTAATTCTTTCAGGTTAGATATTGCTGCTTTTGATCATAACATCATTTAGGCAGTAGCAATGGGAATCTTTCTTCTTTCAAGATCAGCATATGCATCCAGTAAGGGCACAAGTTTCCCAGTTTGTGCTACCGTGTTTTGCTAGTTGTGTTCTTGTCAAAAGAAGGAATTGGTATATATTGTCAATGCCACATAATTATTGAAAAATATGAATTAACACATATCAAAAATAATAACTTTACATCTCTAGAAAAATTAATAGACAGATTTCAGTCTCTCATTGTTAGATTTATCATGAAATTTGAAGTATTGCTGTATAATATGTAACATTCATAGAAAGGAACGTAGACTTACTACTAATTCCAAGCTAAAGACTGTAGTCACTGAAACTTAGTACAATAATTTCTAGTCGTTCTTTGTTTTTTTACTGTATCTATAAACAAAATAGTTTATTGGTACTGGAATAAGGTCCAGTCACCAATGAGAGCTATAAGAATTATTTTGATATGCTGCATGGAAACAGCCTACCATAATGGCAAAAATGCCAAAAATAGGAACCCTGGAGTTTTTGTTTCCATCTGACCTTGTAGCAGCTATGTGACCTAGGCAAGTCACTTTTGTTTTTGGACAGCAATTTCCTAATCTCTGGAATTAGGTGTCGGGCAACATTATCTTGTATATAATTCCAGTGTTTACATTGCTATTTAGCCCTTGTGGAGCTAAATGGTTAATGTGCTGTCAAATGTTCCAGGACCCACCTGTACTCAGGATTTTTATGTCAAAGATGTTGTTGTTGTTAGGTGCCATTGAGTCAGCTTCGACTCATAGTGACTCTATATACAACAGAATGAAACACTGCCCGGTCCTGTGCCAGCCTCACAATCCTTGTTATACCTGACCCCATCATTCCAGCCACTGTGTCTATCCATCGTGTTTAGGGCCTTCCCCTGTGTCATTGACCCTCTACTTTACTAAGCATGATATCCTGCTCCAGCGAATTGTCCCTTCTGACAACATGACCAAAGTAGGTAAAATGAAATCTGGCTATTCTCACTTCCAAGGAGCATTCTGGCTGCACTTCTTCCAGGACAGATTTGTTAGTTCTTCTGGTAGTCCATGGTACTTTCAGTACTTTTCACCAACAACACACTCAAAAGCATCAACTCTTCATTGTCCAGCTCTCACATGCATATGATGCAATTGAAAATACCATGGCTTGGGATGGACGTACCTTAATCTTCACAGAGACGTCTTTGCTCTTCAGCACTTGAAAGAGGTCTTTTGCAGCAGATTTTGCCAGTGCAATGCATCATCTGATGTCTTGACTGCTGCTTCCATGGGTGTTGGTTGTGGAACTAAGTAATATAAAATTTTTAACAGATTCACTCTTTTCTCCATTTATTGTGATGCTGCTTATTGGTCCAGTTGTGAGGATTTTCGTTTACTTTATGTTGAGATGTATTCCACACTGCAGACTGTAATCTTTAAACTTCATCAGTAAGTGCTTCAAGTCATCCTCACTTTCAGCAAGCAAAGATAGAAAACCAAAAAACCAAACCCACTGCCACCAAGTCGATTCTGACTCATAGTGACCCTATAGGACAGAGTAGAACTGATCCATAAAGTTTCCAAAGCTGTAAATCTTTACAGAAGCAGACTGCCTCATATTTCTCCCATGGACTGGCTGGAGGGTTCAGACTGCTACCCTTTTGGTTAGCAGCCCTGTATTTTAGCCACAGACCCACTAGAGCTCCTTTAGTGAACTGAGAAGAATGAAATAGATTGAAGGAATTTCAAAAACTATAGATAACCTTTTACTTTCAAGGACTTTTAAATACTCTGTCTTGATACCTGAAGGCATACATATCCTTCTCATTATGGGAGATTTGATAAATCAATTGGTTACTCTGGTTCTAGAATACTTGAGACTCATCCTTCTAGAGATTGGTATGGTGATCACCTTGAGGTCTGAAAGAAAACTGATTTAACCAGATCAGTGGTCTGCTGTGAGAGGTGATTTTCAGAGAAGGTTACCTGGGAGCTTAGTGAATTAAAATCTTTCCCTAAACTTTTTCTTGCTTTGAAAGACCAAAACAAAATACAACTTAAAGAACTAAGGCTTATAATTTTTTTTTAGGAGGTCCTGAGTTTGGCCATAAATTCTAACTCTTATATCAAATGTCAGGATATGCAGTTATGAATCTTTCTGAACTTAGAAGACAGGCAATGTACAAGTAGTTTATCCTGAGCACATTAGGAAATTCCCTTGCTAATGGATACTTTAAGGTTATTTTTAATGCACTTGGGGCATAATGTTTAAATAGTTTTTGTAGGCTTAAATTCTGACACCTTTGCTTTATGGTATCAAACTTTAAGACCCTAAGTCCTCATTTTCCTATGCATTGAAATAAACCCAGAATTATTTCCTGAGGGTGGTAGGACAACTTTACCCCTGTCCATGACCCAGGCTAACTTCTGCGTTTAGGTGGCACATGTTCTGCCTGAGCTTCCGAGCTTTCAAATATCACCTCTGTCTCTAATCCAGTTAACTTTATAAGCCTAGGAATTACCACGTAGATTTGCTATTTAGAATGTGTCTAAGACTAGAACTTCAACTTGTATTGCCTAATATTTCTCAAGAGTGCTGATGTAGAAAAATAATATTTATGGAGAATTGCTCAACAGAAATGCCATCCTCTTACTGCAATAGTCAAGATATGTAGAGTAAATAAAAGACCTTCATACCAAGCCAAATCATTGTAGTCCTTTGTAGCTTTCATAGAGTTAAACTTTGCCATTTTTGCCATTGACTTGGAATTTAAGATTTGAAAAAGAATAGTCACCCAAACTGGTTATTGTATTTACTGCAAGAGCATTGAGAATGCATAGTTCAAATCATGGGAGAAGGAAGGGCTGCTTATGCACAGGGATACAGTTCAGGGCGCAGGAGAGTATGGAGGGATGGATACTGGGAAGTGGTAACTATGGGGAGGAAATGGGAGGGGAGCTGTTGCGTTGTGGTAAACTGTGGTCAATGACATGAGACAAAGTATATGTGAACTGCTATATGGAAAGTGAATTTGCTCTGTAAATCTTCACCCAAAACACAATAAAAAAAGAAAGAAAGAAAGAAAGAAAGAAAAATTAATTAAAAAAAAAAAAAGAGAATGCATAGTTCAGTCTAGGACACTCTTTTTTTTTTTTTTTTTTAAATGAGACCATGTGGGAGAATGCTTGTATTTCTTCTAGAAACTGGATTGTTTTTATCTTATGGAAATTGAATTCTGTAACTAATTAGAAAATGTAACTAATCAAGTCTTTTTGTGTTATTTGTTTGGAAACTCAGTTGGTTTTATGGACCACCTTTCAATGTTTCATGATTTTGGAGACATGTTTTCAGTAGTAATCAGTCCTCATCTTATCCCCTTTGCCTCTCATTTACCTACCTTTATTTTAATGTGTCTTTTTTTGTTGCCTCAATTTTTTTCTGGGTTGAAGTCAGATTTAAATGACTAATGTTAAAACAAAGATAAGACTGGAAGGATGGGAGACAGTGAAAAACAGTATTGATCAGTTGTTATATGATTAGCTTTGAATTCTGTTTTATAATAGCGAGGTTGTCAGTTTAACATTGCATGTGATGTATGCGAAAATGTAGCATGACTCATTAAAAGAGTATTGAATGACAGGATCATAACAAAATTTGGAGAACCAGAACATCTTTGAGGAGACTATATTAAACAATCTGTTGAATTTTTATTTTTGATTTTGTATAACTCAGACACAGGTGGAGAAAATATTAAGATTATTGCATTGGCATTACCTTGTGTAGTTTCTCACTCAAGGACCTTTTTTACTTTAGCATTTAGAGCCTACTTGGAGTTAGCAAGCTTAGATTGGTTCCATTTCCACCTGGCATAGGTGTTAGTGTTTAGAAGCATCCCATGCCTGTCTCTCCTCTATTCCCTTATATTGGTGTACCCTTCCCTAGAGGTTCTTCCTTCTCTACCTGCCAAATCTTATGTAATCTTCAAGACTTCACCTGGACACACCTGCTTCACATGGCCTTCTCTGAATACTACCTTCCTCTCTTCTTTTGTGAGCTCTTGCAGTGTATAGTCATAGTCAGTAGCTTCCAACAATATGCACACTCTGCTATTGCTGCATTTTGTTTCATGGATTAGTGTGGAAGACCCACATAGTTTATGAGTGTCATGAAAGCCGGTTAGAGCACCTAGCATCATACTGTGCACTGAGTAACTGTCCTGAACAGTGGCTAGTGGTTTTCCTGATTCTTGTTACTCACTCCACATTCTCTCCCAATCTCAGGTCCTTTTTGTGCCAGATGCCAACTTTCCTTCCGGTACCTTAAGATTATCATCATCCAGCCCTGGTGCTACTGTCTCTCCATCATCATCAGATGCAGAATATGATAAACTACCTGTATGTATGCTTCTTGTGCACTGAATTTATCAGAAAGAATTTTCATAAGTTATGTAATTCTACGTGTTATTTTTCATACAGTTATACCTAAAATTTTCCTCAAGTAGGGAACTTAAATAACTTGTCCTTAGTCTAGATAACACATCCTATCCAAGAGAAGCCTGTTCACATTTAAACTCTCAATGTCAAATGTGCATGACTTGAAGTATGAAATTAAATGCCTGATGAGACTGATATTTTGTTTGTACTCACTCTTTCTCTAGAGAAGTTTAATGATGAGTTTAATATGGATTATTTCTTATTAGTTTATTTTCTAAGGATATTAATGAGTCCATTTTGTGGGTTTATACATATGTATTGGGTTTAAGAGCTCTGGTAGCATGGTGCCTAAGGCACTTGACTGCTAACCAAAAAGCTGGCAGGTCACCAGCCACTCCTCGGAAGGAAGGTTGGTCAATCTACTTCTGTAGTGATACCACCTTGGAAACCCAAGGAAGGGTTGCTATGAGTTGGGTCTGACTCAATGACACATAACAACAACAACAACAACAACATTGTGTTTTTAATCTTAGTGTGATTTGGGTACCTATCATATTTGTGATATTTTTGCCTTTTTTTTTTTTTTTTAATGTTCAAGTTTAACAGAAAAAAAAATTATTTACTTGGAACTAATAGAGAATGCTTTATATAATTAATTTGTTTTGAAATATTGCTTGTATTTATTTTGGAAATTTTTGTTTTCCTAAGGATGCTGACTTAGCAAGAAAGGCCTTAAAGCCCATTGAAAGAGTCTTATCATCTACTTCTGAAGAAGATGAGCCAGGCGTCGTAAAATTTTTAAAAATGAATTGTCGATACTTCACTGATGGAAAGGTATATGGTAGTGCAGTTTGTTTATGGAAAAAACAAATGTGGCTCAAAGTTACTGGAAGGAATATTACATTAAAATATCTTATCCAAAGTTTCAGCTTAAGATTTGATAAGTGTCCATTAGTCTTCCTCTGTTGGCCATCTCACATTTTACTTATCGATGCAATATGATCATTGAGTAGAAATGTGATTCTCTGTGACCTTGGATTTATCATTTTATATTTCAGTTCTTGACCTATAAATTATTAGGGATTTAACTGTGTTAAATATATATGATATGTTTCTCATATAAATATAGTTGGAGTCAAACTCAATGAATTGAAATTCTAGCTCTGTCACCAACTAGTTTTGAGACCACGGGAAGGGCATTTATCTTTGCTAAGCTTCCAATTTCCTCAAACTATCGAGTAGGAACAAAAATAAAAGTGTATTAATAGGGTGTGGTAATTAAAGGAGATAATTCATGTAAAGAGTTTGACACTGAATCTGGAAAATGATAAGTTCTCCCCTGTGTTTGCTGCTAATATCCTGGTATTAAAAATAATGTCTACTGCATCATACAATTTAGATTTTTGATGGTTGATGTTTTTACAAAGAACAAATAAGACTTTTAGTGAACCTCTAAGGAGGGTTTGTATTGTGTAAAGTGAATTTCTGTGCTCATAATAGACAGTTTGTGTCAGGTTATAAATAATAGGAGAATAAGTTACTGAAATGCATTTATAACTTTCACACTTGAAAATAAGTGATACCTGAAATGCAAAACTCTTTGCAAAAATGATCAATAAACTCACTAAGAGTATAAAATAAATTACTTACCAAAAGGGAGTCATCTGTTTCTAGTAGATAATATCCCCATGGACATCAAGGTCTATGTAATGTAATCTGACCAAGCTTCAGACTTTTTAGATCTCAAGAAGCTACTGCTTTTGGCCTTCAGTTTCCATAGATTATTGTTAGCTACTGTCAAATTGATTCCAACTCACGGTGATCTTATGCACCACAGAACAAAACATTGTGTGGTCCTGCATTATCCTCTCAGTTGTCAGCATATTTGAGTCTGTCGTTCTGACTACTGTGCCAATGAAGATACCAAGGGTCTCCCATGCCTCTTGGCCCTCTTCTTCACCAAACAGGATGATCAGTCCTGATGACATGCACAGTATAAGCGAGTTGGACAGTGTTCTGTTGTGATCCATAAGGTTTTTCACTGACTAATTTTTAGAAGTAGATTGCCAGGCCTTCCTTTGTAGTCTGTTTTAGTCTGGAAACTCCACCGAAACCTATCCACCATGTGTGACCCTGCTGGTACTTGAAATGTGGTGTAGCTTCTTGCATTATAGCTACACACAGGCTACCACAGTATGAAAAACAGATGGGAAGTGGTAAATTTCCATAGTTCAGCTATATTCACTTTTGGCTACAAAAATCTTGTAATCCTGTTTATGTTCAGTCTTTGCTAGATTTGTGCATTTTAAACATTTTAGACAAAAATATTAGGACTTTTTTTGGCACCATAACCCCGAAACAGCTGTTTCTTGAACACAGGACCATGCATCTGGTCAACCCGTGGTTAATATTTGTGGTGTGAGTTTTAAAGCACAGTGTTCTTGATTGGGAAAACATCTGGGACAACCCCTCTCATATTATAGACAAGCATCTGGAGAATCTGAGACACATATGAGTGACTCAAGGTCATACTATAATTGTGCCATTGCAGTGATTGTCAATATGATTGCTCAAGTAAGGCAAATGTGTTTTCCTTGCTCCACTACACAGAGCTAATATTGCTTTTTTGCAGCTCTCATTGAAGAGATGTGATTGTCATGTATGATATTCATACTCTGGGTCATAAGTCAGTTGAAAGGGCAACATGAGCTAATTGTAAAGCTTTTATGGTTGTTGTTGAAAGCAAATCTGTCTGTAGTGATTCTGTCCTGTCTTTTTCTCCCACAGGGTGTAGTTGGAGGTGTCATGATTGTCACTCCTAACAACATCATGTTTGACCCTCATAAGTCTGATCCCCTGGTTATTGAAAATGGGTGTGAGGAGTATGGCCTCATCTGCCCCATGGAGGAGGTGGTTTCCATTGCCCTCTACAATGACATTTCCCACATGAAGATTAAAGATGCCTTGCCCTCGTAAGACACGCTTCTTTGTTAACCAGCAAAAAAAAGGGGGAGGGGTATTGAGAAAATTAAAGGCCATTTAAAAATGAGTGCATTTGTAGGAATGAGGGGTTGTGTAGATGTGAGTTTCAAGTTGGAAAATTTGTGTTCTAAATTTTTTAAAAAATAGAAAAATGAGAGAAAATGAAAATAATAAAGTCAAAGATAAGTAACAGTTGGATATTAAAAGATTTTCTCTCCTTCTCTTTACCCTTTTCCTTCTGCTTTTTCTCCTCCTCCTCTTCCTCCTTCTCTTCTTCTTCCCCATTTAAAGGATAGGCAGTCTTCCTAACTCATGTCTTTGCTATTCCTGCATAGAGATAGGTTTGAGTGGACAGTGCAGCAGCCACCTTGCCTTTAGCTAGACTATCTTAAGTGAAGTGAAGAGAGAATAACAGTGGGTTTTTTTTTTCTCTGAATATAGATGACTATTACTTTAGTCCTGATTACTTTTGTCTTGGAATGTGGAGTGTTATTGTGAAAAAGAGAAGGAAGCTCTCTATGAAGAAAGAGAGTTCAGAAAGCTCAGGGAACTGATCCACTTACAGGGATAATCTGAGTTTTACTGTCATTTTATCTGTGTTTTTGCATATGCTAGCCATAAAGATCTTTAGAAGCCTTCACTGATAGCGAAGAAGCAGCAAAACATTAGTCCTAACCGTACAAAAAGAAACTAGCCCTTGGACCATTCATACAAAGGAAGGAAGGTAACCCAGAAACTAACCCAGACAAAAAGTTCCTAGGGGTTTAGTATCTGATCCACTCAGTATTTCCCAACCACCCAACCACTGAAGCTGCCACCAGAGTATGGGCACTGAGGCAGTTTCTAAATTTTACTGCTTGAGGTGTTCAAAGTGAGAAGTTAAGAGGCAGTGTTGCATGATGATTGGGTCTGAAGCCATGCTATCTGGGTTTCATGACTTTATCTCTTATGGCTCCATGACTTGCAGGAGTTAGTTACTCAATCTCAAGTCTCATTTTTCTCATCTATAAAATGGAGTTAATAGCAGTCCTCAGCTTATAGGGTTATTGTAAAGACTAAATAAATTGATATATGCAAAGCTCTTAGAAGATAGTCTGGTGCTCAATGTGTAGGCTGTTGTTACTATTTGAAGTTTTAATTCATAACTGAAATTCCAAATGCATTGTCCCATGGGAATCTTGTAATCTATGCATGTTGAGGCTTCTGATGTACCATAGTACCTGCCTCTTGTGTACCAAGTACATAAACATGAGTGAGTTATGACCCCTGCTTGTGAGGACCTTGCAGTTCACTGAGTACGGCCAACACGTGCACCACAATGAGAATCAATGGCACTGTAAACAGAGAAGTGTACACAGAGAACCCATGTGAGGGAGTGTCCAACTGTGTAGAGATTTTGGGAATCTTTGATGAGGAGGAGGAGAGGAAGTGAAAGAGTTAATTTTGGAAAGTAGAAATGAACATTGTGTTGCCTGCAACAAGAGGAAAGAAGATAAGAGTAGGTAAAGATACAGGTAAGTTTGAAAGTGGGTGGCTAGACAAATTGGGCATTTTTTGGCTGATGATATTTTTAATAGAGTAATACTAATGCACAACTTCAGGCCTGGATGGTAAGTTTTCTGTTTAATAATAGAAATGAAGGTACATCTTACAGAAAGATTTCTCTAAACGTGATGTTTATGATCTGGAATAGGAATAATGCTCTGCCTGGGGAAAGAGGGCAGAGTTAAGAATTGGCTCCTAATTTGCTGAAATTATTTTCAGGGTTGTGCATTGATTCCTGCCTTGGGTGCAAATATATAAAGAATTTTCACAAACAGTCTAATGAACAATATATGCACAAATGAGAAAAATAGAATATATGAATAGAGTCAGTGTGAAATGAACTTTGTCCTGTCTTCAGAAGTCCATCAATTATAGAAAGTTCTAAAATTACTTTAAATTTAATTATTACTAAAAGTTATATGAAATACTAAGTATAACTTTGGGAGCTCTGGTAGCGTAGTGGCTAAGGCACTTGACTGCTAACCAGAAGTCTGGCAGTTCAAACCCACTAGCCACTCCTCGGAAGGAAGGTTGGGCAATCCTACTTCCGTAGTGATGCTGCCTCGGAAACCCAAGGAGGGGTCGCTATGAGTCAGGGCTGACTCGACGGCACATAACAACAATAACAACAAAGTATAACTTACCTAACTGCATTGTGCAAATTGTATGGTATGGTGTGTGTAAAATCTTTCCAGCCTCACCTGCAGATTTTATATTTTGGGGTTGAACATTTTGTAACTCCAGCTGCCACAGAGAATAAAAAGGGAATTGAAGGCATTATTGATCATCATTAGGTGCCTAGCTAACATTAATTAGTAAATGGAGCTGTTACATACTTTGTCCCAGCAAAGCTTGGCAGCTATAGTGCAAAGAAAGCAAATGGTGAATATAATCCCAAATAGGGAATTGTAAGCTTGGATGAAGTAGAAGAACAAGAAGGGTGGCATGAACAAGATAATTTAGGTGGCTGATTAGAGTGCAGTTGAATGTGTTCTTTGGAGGGAGCAAGGTAGGTAGGGAAAGAAGAGATAAGGAATACAGTTGGATGTTCATAGAAGAAAATGCTGCTTATTAATCAAGTCTCTGAAAAGCTGGCTTTGTTTGTTGTAGGACTTCTTATGACCTTTAATATGCCAAATTAAATTTAAATGCAGTACTTAAACTACATTACACTAACTTATTTGACTTTAGACTGATACATCTTTAACATTTCCTGGGATGCTGGTGTTGGGCAGAACATTTTGTACATTCTGCTCTGGGTACATGCAAGTTCCTGCAGAACAGAGACACTGTCACAATTATCTTTCAGCATGTGGCATTCAGGAGCTCAATGAGTGTTTATTGAACTAAAACAAAATCTGAATTAGAAGTTTCTCTTAAAGCATTTGTCAGAGCCTAACAATTATGTAGGCTTTTATTTCTTATTAGAAAAAGTATGGACATCCCATGCAAGTGATTCATAAAATAACTTTGAGGAGACAGACAGTCGTCTTGTAATTTAAGAACTGCCTGGTACAAAATCATAGGGAAAATATAGCCTGATTATGATCTAATCTTTTTAGAAAATAAAATTATTTCTGAAATCTGAAAATGTTATTTTTGCAAAGAGGCATTATATCTCTGTTTTAATCCAGTAAAGGCACTAAGATAAGTGGAAATTGGGGTTTGCTCAAGGTATTGCTCATAAAAACTCATTGGATCTGACTCACAGCGACCCCTCCTTGGGTTTCTGAGGCAGTATCTCTATGGAAGTAGATTGCCCCATCTTCCGAGGAGTGGCTGGTGGGTTTGAACCCCCAGCCTTCTGATTAGCAGTCAGATACCTTAGGCACTATGTCACCAGAACTCCCAAGGTATTGCTGTTGTTGTTGTTATTTGCCATCGAGTCGGCCCCGACTCCTAGCGACCCCTCCTTGGGTTTCCAAGGCAGTTATCACTACAGAAGTAGGGTTGCCCAACCTTCCTTCCGAGGAATTGCTAGTCAGCTTTAAAAACATGTTTCTTGACAATTTATTATAAACTTGCAAAACATATATGATAAATATTTCTTTTTAATTCAAATCTGGGTAGTGAAACATCTGTTCCTATTATGTTTCAGCTGACAACCCAAAATTTACTTCTCTCTGGATTTTAAAAATTGTAAAATGGTGCAGGTACTAGGTATTTGCATAAATAGTGCTATATTTACATAAGTGCTTCTTGCATCTCCTTCGGGGGTGGGAGAATATCTGTTACTGACAGCATTAGGTTTCAGCCATGAAACCCAGAATAAGGGTTCTGGGCTAGTCACCTCATAGAGCAATTGGATGAGTAGTTGCCAAGTAAATTAGCCATGCATAATTAATGTCATTGATCTCTATTATTTTGTGAAAAAAGAAAGCTTTGAGTACTAAAGGAATTTTAGCCACTGGTACTAAAATATTTTCTCTCTTTTATCTTTCTTGAAAATCAGAAACATTATTATTTCATCATTAAAAACCTGGTGGGTGACAACTCCGTGTTCAGACATGACTTCAAAAACCATTCATGTGCTTCTAGTAGGGTTTGCAGAATCATCCTTTCTTTTGCCACTTCCTTTCATTAATTTATGTTTCTTTTCGAAGTCTATTTATTTCCTTATGCTAAAATCATTTAAGCATAAATTTAAGTTGCAGCATATTTATGTTTTGGTTTTGGTTGGGTTTTGTTTAGTTTTGCCTTTCCTCCATTTTGTTTTTGGTTTTGTTTTTAACATTCCATGTGCACCCACCATTTCTCCCCAACAGTGACCTACCTCAGGATCTTTGTCCTCTGTACAGGCCTGGAGAATGGGAAGACCTGGCTTCTGAAAAGGATATCAACCCATTCAGTAAGTTCAAATCTCTCAATAAGGAAAAACGGCAACAGAATGGAGAAAGATCCGTCAATACAGACTCCATATCAATAAGACCGTTGGAGAAGTCAACCGATGACACACATATGAAGCTGTCAGGCAGCCCTGTGTCAGGAAAGTTAAAGAAAGTGGAATCATCTATAGAGGCAACCAACAGATCTACCACAATGACTGGGGTCAGCAAGGAAACGCCTGACCCTGCACTTGAATCTACAGCCAAAGAAAACTCCCTTTTAGTGGAAGATGATGACTTTGTTGACTTGGAGGAACTTTCTTCCCAAACCAATAGTGAAATGGGCAAAAGAGACAATGCAAAGGAGTGCCTTGACCCAGAGGATCTAAGGAAAGCTAAGTCACAAATAATCAGTTCTGCTACAGAAAGGCCAGTGCAGTCGGCCCTGACCTTTTCAGGAATAGAAAGTGATGCTGAACTGAAGGGGACTCTAGATTTGGAAACCTGTGAGAAGCAAGATAAAATACCAGAAGTGGACAAGCAAGCTGGTTCTCCAGAAAGCCGAGTGGAAAACACACTGAACATACATGAAGATCTTGATAAAGTTAAACTCATCGAATATTA